CCCTGCAAAATCACACCCACAAAAAAACCACACACACACACACACACACACACACACACACACACACACACACAAGAGAAATCCCCCACCAAACACTAGGGGAGTTAATTTTAGGGTGGCAGTAGAACAGATTTGAGAGCTCTTAGTAAGTCATTCCTCTTCTCTTTCCCAGTTCATTTTATCTATGGGCCAATGGATCCTATAAATCCCTATCCAGAGTTTTTGGAGCTGTACAGGTGAGTCTCCCTTAGAGGTCTTTGTTTTGTTAGTTTTTCATCCTGACGGGGTAAACAAAATTACTTCTTGAGGGACACTGGCACTGACCTCATTAGCTGCTCATCCAGGAGACATAAAAAAATGAGTCAGGAAATCTCACTCTCACATAAGTATAAAGATCAAGAAGCTCAGTTATATATTATCTTAAATAGCCTGTTTTCACTGTCATGGCTACATCATATTCCCAGACATAGAGGTTAAAAAAAAGCTATCACATGAACCACAGGATAAGAGGAGATACCCTTTTTATGTTTGTCTATAAAACCAGTTCATTGTCCTAACCTGAGCAGACTGCAGTAGAGATTGAGAAGAGTTCACTGTGGAAAAGTTGTTACTCTCTCTGGCTGTTATCTTCTCTGGGTACTTACTTGGAAGGTGTTGGGAGTCTGAAAGCTTGACTTTGTCACGTAAGAGAGTTCCATACCTTCATGTGGCCTACTGGTTACAACCCAGTAATAAACAGCTTGCATAGAATTTTAAACAAAATTCCCTCTCTCATCTCCAACCTTAAGGAAGTTCCTTTGCTGTCTTTCCTTGGGCCTCAAGTTGCTGAACTGATCCACTTGTTTCATGCTTCATGTTTCTCTATGGAGCTGTTTTGACAGCTGAGGCAAAAGTGTTATATTTTCAAGTTGTCTGTTGGATTATAAACAATTAAAAGCTAGTGTGTTTAAGTGGAATTGGCAAGTTTATCTGCCTAAGATAAAATTCCAATGTGGAAGGTGAATAAACTCTGATGGTGGTTCCTTCCAGTGTAGTATGTCCATAGGGGCATTTACTGGGTCTTCTCACTGGCTCCTCCCCGCTCCAGCCTCAAGTTCACCTACATGCTGTTCTCTTCCACTAGGAAAACGCTGCCGAGGTCCACAGTGTCGATTCTGGATGACCACATTAGCCACTACCCACAGCTAGAGGATCCCATGGGCTTCTTGAATGCATATATGGGCTTCATCAACTCCTTCTGAGCTGGAAAGAGTAGCTTCCCTGTGTTACCTCCCCCACTTCTGTATCTGTTGTATTTTCCACTTAGGAAGAAATGCCCAAAAGAGGTCCTGGTAATCAAATACGGTTCTCTCAAAAGTCCATTTTACTCACAGTGGTGAACAGAATCCAGAAAAAAGGTAGCAAAAGCTCTGAGGGTGACATATAGTCCACCTCCTATTCCTTTGACATCCGATCAAGTGTATGGACTTACCTTTGTATTCTAGGAAATTCTGGTGAGCACTGCTTCTCACTGACTCAGAAAGACAGGCATTAGACATTCTTTTGCATAAAAGACTTTTTAACACTTCTGTGAACTTTTATGAAGTATTTTAAAATGATAATTTCTGGCCTAATCCCAACTGGAATCCTGTAGTAAAAGAATGAGGAGAGGGGTCCTGCTTACTTCTCCTTGGATGGCTTAAAGGGCATATGGGTTTTAAAGTTCTCTAAGTAATATAGCGTGAGAGTGAGAATTAATCTCCCTTGTCATAACTTTGGATTTAATTTTATCAGCTGCTTCTAATTTTAGATATTTTGTTAAAATAGATATTGTTTAATACAGTATTTTGAGTATGCTTTTAGGGTATGAGTTGCCTACACATTATATATACTTATAAGGATACTTAACCAGCAGACCCTTACTCTGCCAGAATAGTGAACCTTATTACCATGTATAATTTCTTAATAAATTGAGCTAAATCCAGACTATTTATAGACCTTCCTAAAATGGCAGGACATGAAGGACCAATTGGATCCATTCTATTCCAGAGATTTACTGTTATTACCTGGAAAGACCCATTCTAACAGCACATAACAGTCTGACTTCTCATACCTCAGTGCTTTAGAAGCATGTCCCTCCTGAGCCTAAGTGGAGTGGGGGAAGGGGACTATTGTGTAGTCTAGGTTCCTATGCTGAATATGCACTGACTCTTCTTGTGATGATTGCTTAGCTTCCATTGGCTGTCCCAGCGAGGCTTTCTCATTGTAGCTCAGCAATTCCTGTCCTTAATAGACAGGAAAGTTCCCAGACACTTTTAAGAACAAACTGTGAAAGGCCTATAAGCAAATGGTGCTGAATACTTTTTTAAAGCCACAGTTTCACTGTCTTAGTCAAAGCAGGATTAGTAAATGATCAAACATTTTTTTAGAAAATCAGCAACTTCAAGTATAACAACTTTTAAACTGGAATAAGTGTTTATTTTCTATTAATAAAAATGAACTGTGACAAAAGTGGATTCTGGCTCCCTCCCCATCCTCTGGGATAAAATTTTCCAACATTATCTGGAGCTTTCACACATTAAATAAAAGAATGATGAAGTTAAGCAGCTGAAGTATAGGATAGTATTTGATTTTCAAGATTACCCAAAGCTACACTGTCATACCAAAGCTGACCAAATGAGAAAAAGAAGGAAAAGCCAAACCAAACCATGAACACCAAAATCCATGCACAAGGAGAGACATTTGCTTGATCTGCTGGCTTAGGGCCAAATATTTAATTTGCTTCTCCAAAGTCATTAATCTTTAGGAGTGTGATTCTGGGGAATTCATGCCACTAGCCTAAAAGCTCATTGACAGTGAAGTGTGTCATCTTGCTCAGTATGAACTTATCCAACAGAAGCCAAGATAACATCTACAGGTGTTCTCTCTTTGCTTCTGACAGTCACCTGCATGGTCACACCATCTGCTAAGGCCAGCCTGGACCTCACCAATAAATCATAGCCACCTCTGTATACACCTGAGAGAAAAAAGTAAGGAAAACCATATTAACAACTCAACATAAACTCTGATAATGAAATTTATCATGCTTTACCTACACCTCCTTTCTATTACTTTAGTTTAGCTTTTCTAAAATGAAATTTGTGGGAACTGAATACTATATATCAATTCTAGCTTTTAAAAAAATATCTCCCTGAGTCAGGTACAATAGAAGCTATTCAATTCTAATCTGAGTACTTAAAAGGCAGTAGGGCCAAGGGTGGGTGGCACTGATATCAGTGTGAGAGACTGAGTATGTCAGGCTAGACATTCACCCAAAAAGAATAGCATGCAAAACAAATTATTCATTTTGTCTGGGCTTCAAATTGTTACTCACATAATGGGGTTACAGTACAACTGTAGGACATGGGATGCCCATCCACAGCCCTTCTTACTACATTTTGCAAAAAAAATACAGTATAAGGAGATAGAAGTCTCTTACCTGATAGATAGAGCGAATGGGAATTTTTATTTTCAGGTACTTTATCTGACCTCTCACATGGCTGCATGCCCAAAAATGTGATAATGTTGTTGACAGCTTCTGTGTTCAGAAAGTTTATGCAATAGTATTAGAAAAGTTCAGCACTAGGACCTACCTTTTATCCATATGTTCTGGAAGCTAGGGCACACAGGGGTGTGGATAGGTGAGTGAGGCTACTGGACTTGAAAATGGATGGTTCAACTAGATGATAAAGACAGGTAGCTGGTCTTTTAAATAAACGACTTAGGATGGATTTAATAAAAAAGGAGTTCTAGAAGAACACATATGCTTATTAAGTTTCATACTGTTATATAAGACAGTACAATGGCAACACAATTGTTCTTACCTTCAAGCGTTTTGGTAGAACTGAGGGCAAAGGTCTCCTCTTTCTCAAAGGTATCTCCCACTTCTTCCCACGCAGCAGCAAAATTAGGTTTCAGTATCTTCTGAATGTGGTCAGACACAGAAACTTCAAGATCTTCTAGCTAGTGGATAACAAAAAGCAGTTAGTAAACAGAAGGCCTTTTCATACAGAACAAAGACAGAAAGAACCATTCATTTATCACTGTTATATCCCTGCAGGGGCATAGGAAAAACTCTACCACAACAAACATTTAAATGATGTAGTCTGGATAAACCTAATGCTGTGGGCTTTAGCACAGGAAAGTGAAAAAATAGGACATCTAGCAAAAGCCAAATTCAGATTCATACCTGTAGCCCTGAGGTGCACAGCAGTCATTTTGCCACACCTAACTTGTGAGTTCAGGCCATACAGTACTTTCTAAAATTTATATTCACTAAGGTTGGTAAGTCTTCCTCCTTCCTTCCTTCTTATGAAGATTTTTCAGTCTATAATCTGGCTATACTATAAGCAAACTATAAGTTGCTGAAGCAAAAACAGAACAACCCACTTCAAGTAAAACTGACTTTATGTATTGTAATCTCATAAAAAATAATGTATTTCATTTTAAACATCCTTATTATAAGGGGAGGAAATAAGGGTGAGTCTCCCTGTTTTAATTATAAAGTAGTAAATCTATTATCTTAGACATGGTGCAATCCCTTTATAGAGGAGTGGTAATCTGAGAAGAATAGAAACCCTATAAATTCATGCCAGCCGTTCCTCGAAAAATGTTCTCAGGGCAGATGTCTTGTCTTAGTGTTGGAAAGGTGCATTGTTTCTGCAGCGATGACTCACCACATACTCATCATCATACCCATCCTCATCTGGTACTCCAGTGTTAGGGTCACAGTCCCGGACTGTAAATTTCATGGTGCAGCTAAAGGTGCCTGCAACTAGAGGAGAAAGAGCAGGCAAGCCCATGTCAGAGGTATCTTGAGCACATCGGTTCCATCATTAGCAGAAGCACCATTTATGCTGCTCCACATTTTTAAGTTAAACCTATGTAAGCTTTATTTTCTAGGGCAGTAGTTCTCAAGGCCTCCTGCAAGTGGGTCAGAAAGGCATCTCACAAAGTATGATATTAAAATCTGTTCTGCACTTTGGATTAGAATAGTACAGAAAAGATGACAAAGGCAAACTATTTCTGTGTTGGTGTGAAGAAGTAAGGGAAATACTTCTGGGGGCTTTTTGTCACGCTTGTCAGAAGGACCTATGTATTGAAATATATTGAAAAATAAAAACAATGTGACAAAATAAAACTCACTGATGGGAAAAAGCATACAGACTGTCAAACTAGCTCTGACCAAGTATGCCTGAGTCTCAGTATTAACACTGTCATTCAATTGCGGACTGACAGTTGGTCCATAGATCATCAGAATGAACTTGCTTTAAGTCAACTCTCAATCTACATTGAGTAAATCAGTAAACAGAATTTAGCATTGATAAAGTCAGTGAGTTAAGATGGAAAAGCAAGTGTGTAATTACATATTTGGGGAGGTAATAAGAAAAGGAGTTGGCACGTTTTTGGAAAGTGTAGTTTTCATGATGATGAGGGGACTGAAGAAGAGGCATTTAGGGTCAATCCATGGTATAAAAAAACCCTTGTAAGTACAAAAATATTAGGAACTGGAGTATTAGGAAACTATATGGAAGATGAGCAAGGAGAAGAAAGAACAGATTCAGATATAAAGAATATGTATGACTAATTCAGTAGTAAGACTTTCATCTGCTCATCTTAACTTTAAACTCACTCTGCATTTGTCTATCCATCCCCCATCCATCATACTGACACTGCATATAAAAGATTAAGCTAATATACTGCACACTGAAAAAAATAGTTGAGACACAACCTTTAAGCCTCTAGGAGCTGGCTATGTAGGGCTGTGTGGGCATGATTCTTCTATGACATTACAACTCAGTGCTGTATACTTTACTATAAAATTTAACAGATACTGTGTGAATTTGCAGTATTAACAGCCTAGGGAAGCTGTAAAACATGTAAAAGAATGTAACAGTTTAGCTGGATCTCAAAAGATGGTAGAAGAGCTTTGCCTAGCAGAGGAAGTTGAGGACCAAAAGGAAAGAGGGCAGAGTCCACGGGGTGGTTGGCAACAGGTATGCTAACATACAGATGCTGATTGATAAAGTTTCATTTAGGAACTGTAAAGTAATGTATTAAAAATTATTTTACAACTGCCAGGTGTGGTGGCACATGCCTGTAATCTCAGTACGCAGGAGGGTGAAGCAGGAGGATCATCATGAGTTCAAGGCCAGACTGAACTTCTTTCTTCTCTGTCTCAAATGACCAAAAACAAACAAACAAACAAAAAACAATTTTGAGGTGGTCAAGAGACTGAAAGTTTAGAGATAAGTTAAATAAAATGGTGCCACTGGTGGTAAGCCCATAAAGAATGAATCTGAATTCAAAGAGCACATGGGTTCAATGGAACATGTTGAAAATTTATGATAGTAGTGGGTTAATCCCTAAAGGAAAGAATGTATTTATCAGCACTGCAGAATCTGTGTCAGTATTACAAGAGAGTGATAAATGAATGACTGTGGTTAAATTAAGGTAGGATTTTCTTCAGGAGGAATGGAAAAGAAGTTAACACAAGCCCAGCATAGGTCAACTGAGGTCTTAAAAAAATGAAAGAGACACAAGAGGTATGGATAAAAGTCACAAGTAAGAATGCAGCATCAGGACAGACATTAAGTAATAAATATGAGCTCCTGCTTAAGCAGAGAATTATAGACAAATGAGGAAAAGGCAAAAATTAGGAACAATGTTGATCACAGACTGAGGCAAATTTAATTTTATGTAGAAGACAGAAGTAAATGTAAATGTAATTAAGTACATGAGACAGAGAAATGGACTGAGGAAGTAAATTAAGACTGGTACTAATAGAGAAAACTTTCTTAAAACCTTAGTGGAAAAATTTTAATTAAATGGTTTGATACAGTAAGGTGTTACAGAAACTCCGAGGTGAATTCCAAAAAAAAAAAAAGCTACCGGTGGTAATCTGTGAGTGCAGTTAGAGAATATGACTGACACTGGGTGGTGAGGAGTGGAGGGGCCTTTCCAGGGCAAGGTCATAATACTGAATCTACCTCCGTGCTATAAAGATGATAGTTTCAAGCATAAGGCAAGGCAAATAACCAAAGGGTACGAGGAAAGTATACTCTAAGATTTACATTAAAATTGTTCTCAGGAATGGGATTTATCTTGTGAGGACAGGCTGAAAATAACAGTCAACTACTGAAGAGATACATCTGAAAAGAATAAAGAATTAGAAAAGATGGATGCTGGAAACTAAGGAAGGAGAGATGTGTGAATTGGCTGGGGTACAGAACATGCATTATAGCAAATAGGAGAATGGGAAATTTGGAAGGAAGTTGCCAGGTCTGTACCACTGGAGGGAAAACTAGTGAGGTAAAAACGGAGTTTATGAAACAATTCCAGAAAGCTTTGCAAGGATAATAATTAAAGGACAGGGTATATCAATAGGACAAAACACTAGAAAGGATGGGTTTGAAATAGGTAGTCCGGAAATAAACTGAGAAGGGACAGATGTAGTATATATAGGGTGTAAGAAGTCAAGAAAGATGGTCACACTGAGCCAAAACTGAGGAGCAAGTCACTACCCAGAAGGCACTATGGAATACTGAGGAATGCTATACACATGGCAGGAGAGATGTTGAAAGTAAGGTTTTTCTCTAGAACAATATAGGAGTGAGTGTAGGAACAGTGCAGAAGAGCAACACTGAAGTTGCCCTGAGATGCAATGGCACCAGTCACTAAGGAATAACACAATTGAAAGGATAAGATGGTATTCCTAGGCCAAAAGTCAGGAAGATAGGATAGGAGGTGCAAAGGAAAGGAAGTATTACCTGGTGTAAGGCACAGCAAGTAAAGATCTCAAATAGGGAGTTCTGTCAGAGTTCAAAGAAAGTCTGATTGGTCACATGTGG